AGCTACTGTGTTTCAAGACTCTTCCTTTCTAGTTTCTGAAATTGGACCAGACAACAATCTTCTTTGAAGATATAATTCAAAAAGCCAAAAGCACACCTTCCAACACACTGTGCTTTCAGGTATTCTGAGGAAGGAAAACACAACTGCATTAAATACAAATTTATTACAATTTGGTTGCAATTTTAAGAGTTAAAATTCCTTCAACAAAATAAATTATTTTGATCTTCACATCCTTTTTTTTTAAAAAAAATTTTTTTTTTGGGGGAGAGATTTTCACTGTAGGGTACGTGCGTTCGCCAGACAGACAGAGAGAGACATAGAGACAGAAAGCGAGAAATCACCCCCCAGGGGGGATGGTCACACCGCAATCCCTTCTCCTCCATTCTCCTCTCAGGATCTTGGGCACGCACGCACACACGCCCCGCGTGAGTTTTAAGCCACCGGGTCCGGGACACGAACCGCGGTCGACTACGTGGGAATCCAGCGACATAGCCATTACGCTAACTGCTGGTTCCCCATCTTCACATCCTTTTTGAAATTAATATTTTTCCTCCTCCATTTCCAGCTAAACAACCATAGCAACGCAGATGGATTTGTTTGGTTTTTAAAGAATTATTTAACTTCATTTATTTATTTTAAAATTGACCAGAGAGGAGGAACCAGCAGTTAGCATAATGGCTATGTCGCTGGACTCCCACGTAGTCGACCGCGGTTCGCGTCCCGGACCTGGTGGCTTAAAACTCAAGCCGGGCGTGTGTGCGTATGTACCCAAGATCCCAAGAGGAGAATGGAGAAGAGATTGCGGCGTGACCATCCCCCCTGGGGGGTGATTTCTCGCTGTCTCTAATGTCTCTCTATGTCTGTCTGGTAAGCGCACACGCCCTATAGCAAAAACCTCTCTCTCTCTCTCAAAAAAAAAAATAAAAAATAAAAAAATTGACCAGAGAGGGACAGAGCTAGAGAATGAGAGAGGGAAAGCGAGAAAGCAAGCCACTAGGTCTGGGACTCGAACCACCGTCGACCATGTGAGAGTCCAGCGTCCTTAACCACCAGGCCAACTGATGGCCCCCAATTGGGAGCCTGTGCTCACCAGAAAGACAGAGACAGACACAAAGTGAGAAATCACTCCCCAGGGGGATGGCCACGCCGCAATCCCTTCTCCTCCATTCTCTCCTCAGAATCTTGGGCATGCATGCACACACGCCCGGTGTGGGACTTGAATCATGGTCGTCGACTACATGGGAGTCCAGCTACGTGCCATTATGCTAACTGCTGGTCCCATGTTTTAAACTGTCAAGGGGGAGTATGCATTCATGGGGTGAGGTAAGGGGCACATTCAATGGAACATGGCCATACCACAATCCCTCTTCTCCATCTCTCTACTCCTTCTGATTTGGGTCATACACGCACACACCTTGAGTGTGTGTATGTGTTTTTAGTTTTTTTTTTCCTCAGGAAGCATGTGCTCACTGGAGAGAGACAGACAGTGAGAGGGAAAGTGAGAAATCATCCCTCAGGGAGAATGGCCATGCCATAATCCCTTCTCCATTCTCCTCCTAGGATCTTGGGCACAACCACACACAAGCCTGGAGTGTTTCAAGCTAGTGGGTCTGGGACTTGAACCATGATTGGTCACATGGGCGTCCGCTGACATAACTGCTATACCATCTGTTGGCTCTATTACTCTATTTTTTTTCAATTAAAGAATTATTTTACTTTATTTATTTATTATTTTTAAAAAGAATTATTTATTTATTTATGCATTCATTCATTTATTTTAATTTTACCAGACAGACACAGAGAGAAGGAAAGTGAGAAAGCAAGCCACTAGCTCAGGGACTTGAACTGTGGTCGGTCATGTGGGAGTAGTGTCCAGTGCCTTAACTATTTATTTATTATAATTTGACCAGAGAGGGATAGAACAAGAGAGAGAGGGAAAGTGAGAAAGCAAGCTGCCAGGCCTGGGACTTGGATCACGGTTGGCCATGTGGGAGTCAAGCGCCCTTAACCACCATGCCACCTGCTGGTGCCCCCCAGCTTTAACTGTTAGGATATACATAGTCTTCATCAGACAACCACTGTTCACAGCAGGTGTCCATCCATTAGACATGTAAATACCAGCCTCCCCTTTCCCTTAATCTCAAGGTTACTTTCAAATACAGGAAAATGCATAAACAACTTCAAAGTGGTAAGGCAAGGTCGTCCAAGTTAACCCAAGGGCGGTCTTCAGTGCTGCCTTACCTGGACCTAGTTCAGCTGGCGGATGAGCTGATTGATGCGTTCACCCCGATAGCCAGGTGAGCCCATCTCCTTGAGGAAGCCCACTTGGTTCTTGGTGGCATGACGGGCCACCGAAAGGTGAAAAGGGCACAAGAAACATGAGATATCTTGGAAATACTTCCCCGGGAAGGCAATTTCATGAATGAGGTCTTCTAAACAAATGACGCCAAACCTCCCTGAGAAACACAAGAGCACAGATTCTTTTATTTGACGCGTATCCAGAATGTGTTAAGCTCTTACACGTCAGAGCCAGGCACTCACAGTTTCTAGAGAGGCCAAAAAGAACAGAATCCGAATCCCACCTCAAGGCCACCAAAACCCTTGCTTTGTGCGCTTCAGCTGTAGCACTCACCTAGATGCTCCTCAATCACTGTGTTGTCGGTTAGAGGAATGGTCTTATTCTTGACCTTGGCTTGCCCACGTTTCAAGATGAGTTCCCGGACTGATTTCAGGTTTGGAAATCTATATGAAGCAAGCAGAGTAACATACAGCCTTCGCTGGCACCTGACACAGACACAGCTGGCTATTCAGCCCCACAGCCTGGCCAAGGAGGAATGGTTGGGAAGGTTCTCCTACCCACCCCTTTTCTCAATCAAGAAGGGTTCTGCACTCATAATCCAGCTGGGAAGCCCGGAAATAAGTAAGGAAAGGATAAAGAACTGGCTTGGCCCTGGCATATAATCAGACATTTAAGGATATAAATGTTCACCGAGTTAAAAAAATAATTTGTATCCCAGGCAAATATCAACCAAAGGAAACCCCAAAACCATTTCCTGGCTTAAAGTCTAGTACTTTGGCCTTAGGTGATGTTCTACCCAAGACAGTGCAAAAGTTAGAAACTATACCCAAGCCTTTTCTGGGCTTTAACATTTGAGTACTGCTATTCTTAGACAAGCACTGCCCCTAGTTCTGCTTCAAGACTCCAAGAATCCATGTCTTTTATCCATGTTTCTCAGCTAGCCCTGCCATGGTACTATTCAGACCGTTATTAGCAGTAGTAACCCCTCCCTGCTCCACCTAACCTGCGTCCCAAGGTTCTTATGGCTGCTGACTGATTCCCAGTGACTGTGACCCCTGTAAAAATGTTCCTTCTACACAGCAACATAACCCTGGAAGAACAATACCTGGTGTACCCTGACACACTCAAATATAATTTGAATTCACAAGGAAAACCTTACCCCCAGGTCACATAAGGTTCCACTATTCGCAGTGTCTTTAGGCTCTGAGGAGTGACTTTGACAAAAACGCCACTGAAAATTTTCTTCAGACGCAGTCTCGCGATGGTCTTCTGCACCACTGAACTTACCCCATCAATCCTGAAATGAGTGGCAACGCAATCAGGCTCTCTCCAGTTCACAGCAAGCACTACACGGGGTATCCAGAGGTCAGACACAGACTACGACCACAAGAGCTCAGTTTAGGGGTTAATGGCACTGTGGTCAAAGGTAACACTCTGCAAGGCTGAACACGGGTGAAGGCTCCTGGCTCGTATCCAGAGATCTTCCTGAGTACACTGGGCACACACATGCTCATGACCTGGAGCTGACTAAAGCCAGGGGTAGATCCTGGCGTTAAGATCCTGTTGGGGTGCTGGCTTCATATTTCGCTCATGGAAGGTAAAAAAAAGCTCAATTTAGTGGGAGGCAGTTACATAAACAGACCATTTGTCCATGACACAGGGATACGGGGTGCTATGGGAACATGAAGATGGTCCCTGAATGTGTGTGTGTGTAGGGCTGTGCATGTCCAGCCAAGGAAGCTGGATTTGCTTCTATGGGCAATAAAAAGCCACTGAAGATTTTACAGTGCTGGCAGGTGGCAAGGTGTGTAAGGCACTGGACTGCCACATGGCCAGCCATTGTTCATGTCCCAGATCTGGCAGCTTGCTTACTCATCCCTACCCACATCTCTCTTTAGTCATATAAAAATAATAATAATAATTAAATGCATTTAAATAATTATTAAAAAAAAAAAACACACAAAAGCTACTGAAGATTTTAAGCAAAAGAGACATGATAGATTTCTTTCTGACAAGCACTAATGGCAGCCAATAGGTCAGATGTGAGTGTCTGACATCAGAGGCAAGAGAACCCAGTTAGAAAGCTAATGCAACAGTCCAGAGAAGAGACTCCGGGCAGTAATAGGATGGCTAAAGCGGACAGAGCTCATAATATTCGAAACCCACAGCTTTCTGGTTTGTGAAAGGAAGGTACTACCAATGCAGAAGTGTTTCCTTGGCAATGAACCTGTGCCACCCACTTGGCCTTGACTCTTCAGAGACTTTCGCATACACGCCTGGAAAGCCTTTCCCAACAATAGAGATCACTTCATGTCCTGTCTCAAGGTCAAGTTTCTGCTTTAGAGAATGTCTCAACCACCCCCCCCCCATCCTGCATAGTACCTTTGTAACACTTATTTGCAAGTTTATGCTTAAGCCCAGTCTCCTTAACTTTGCAGATAAAAACCAAGTCTGCTACATTCAACATGCCTTATTTAATAATCAGGGCCTACGATTTCCTTATCTCCCTAAAGGTTGTTTCCGCAGGTACATGAGTCCAGAAAAACACCAGTCCCCTACCTTTTGATGCGCACAACAAAGGCCAATGAATGTTTATCGGGCATTTCCAAGGCATGAGGTTTCACTTCAAGTCGTCTGAGACGTACCATGTCACGCTTCTGCCGCCAGGAATCATTTAAGAACGATTCCAGTCGCTTAAATCTGGGCCCTTTCTCTTTCCTCTGCTACAGAGAAGACAGACCATCATCATCATCTTGTGCCTCCATTCATCTTTACTTCTATAACAGTAATTCATGAATCACAACTGATAAGTTTCTCCTTGTGTTCTGCAAAGGGGAACAAACATCTATTTTTCTTTTCTTTTTTTTTTGAGAGGTTTTTGCTATAGGGTGTGTGCGCTCGCCAGAAAGACAGAGAGAGACAGAGAGACAGAAAGCGAGAAATCACCCCTCAGGGGCCATGGCCACACCGCAATCCCTTCTCCTCCATTCTCCTCTCAGGATCTTGGCACGCATGCATGCACAAGCGCCTGGCATGAATTTAAGCCACCGGGTCTGGGACTCAAACCGTGGTTGACTACATGGGACTTCAGCGACATAGCCATTATGCCAACTACTGGTCCTGATCCTCTATTCTTATATAAGGGGAGAATGAAAATCCCAAGTAAAGGTGGAGTTGAGAAAACTTGGGAATTACTGAAGAACGTCTTTGGAAATAAACATTTAGTTTATGAGCCAGCCTGTGGCATGGTGGTTAAGGCAGATAAATCCCACATGGCCGACTGTGTGGTCCTGGATCCAGTGGCTTGAAGAACCTGCCAGACACAAACACAAGGGCAAGTGCACCCCAAATCTCTGAAAAGAGGGAAATGGAAGAAACGAGATTACAGTGCAACCATTCTCCATGGGGGGTGCTTTATCATCCTCTAACTCCAGGGAGCCCATAGGCCCTCTGGCAAAATTAAAAAAAAAATTAGTTTAGGGACCAGCAGGTGGTCTAATGGTTGGGGTGCTGGGCTCCTACATGGCCGACTCTGGTTTGAGTCTTGGACCTGGAGGCTTGCTTACTCACTTTCCTTCTCTCTCTCTCAGATAACTATAGCAAGTTAAAAATAATAATAAATAAAAATTTAAAATTCTTTAAGAAATTAGTTTATAGAGACCAGCAAATGGTGTAGCAGTTATGTCCCTGGACTCCCACATGGCTGACTGTAGTTGGAGCCCCGGACCTGCTGCCTTGAAACTCAAACTGGGCGTGTATTACTTATGATCCCAGGAAGAGAATGGATTGTGGCATGGTCATCCCTCCAAGGGGGTGATTTCTCACTGTATTTCCACCCCCAACCTCCACACATGCTCTAACACACAAAAAAAACCTAAAAAAAAAAAAAAAAAGAAAAAAGAAAAAAAAAGAAATTTAATTTATATGTTAACTAGTATCTACAAAATGTTTATAAAACCTAATATTGTGGGACCAGTGGATAGTGTAGTGGTTAAGTCGCTGGACTCCCACAATTTACTGTGGTTCGAGTCCTGGGCCTAATGGTTTAAAACTCATGCTCAATATCCCAAGAGGAGAATGGAGGAAAAGGTACTGTGGCATGGCCATACTCCCCTGGGTGGGGTTGGTGGTGGTGATGATTTCTCCCTTTCTGTCTCTGGCAAATGCAAGCCCCCTACAGCAAAAATCTCTCTTTTTTAAAAAAAAAAAAGAAAGAAAAACCTAATATTGTATTGGCATTGTATCAGGCAACACTGTATTAATACTGTATCAGGCAACACGAAGTACAAAACAAGCAAGAGTTTTATTCCTGTCCTGAAATACCAATGTTATCTCCAAAGGTACTTATCACAAAGCAAAAACTTTTTGGTATATCATTAGTAATTTTTTTTTCTAATTTTGCCAGAGGTTCACTGGGGGCGGAGAGAGAAAGTAAGCAAGAACCTCCCACCTGCAGAAACAGGTACACCACAATCCTCCTCCACCACCTCTCCTTTTTGGGATTTTGGGTACGCACTCCCACAGGCCTGGCCCTAGTGGGACTCAAACTGCTCTGTCCACCATATGGGATCCAGCACCCGTTAACCACCATACCACCAGCTGGCTCCGGGCACATTATTTTAAAATACATTTTCTGCCAAGTTATGTCTCTCAAATCACTCCATATGAACCTAGAAGAAATAGTCCACTTCACTTTTTCCTCCAACTTTACTCCACTGTTTTGCCTGTAGGAGGTGTTAGATAAACATTTGCTAAATTATGACATGAAACATAGCTGATGTAAGGGAGAGGCTTGTGACTACCAAGACTAGTTCAACACATGCTGGATAAAATTCACCAAATACAAATGATAATTTCTTCCTCCTGGTTCCCCATTATTACCTCTCTTCTTGCCAAAAGTGCTTGCTTTGCTTGGGTGGCCTTGAGGGCTTGATAAGCTTTTCTCTTTTTCAGGAGATTTTCTGGAACCAAAGGGATCTTTTTCCTTTGCCTGATATAAAAAACTGAGGTCATTGGTAATAATATTTACAATAGAAAACGAGCATTTAATAGACTTCCAAACCAGTTCGGTTATCTTTGACTTTGGGAATGTCAGAATCTTCAAACACCGGAGGACCGAGATTCCCCCAAATCTGTAGTTTCTAACTCCAGTCCTCAAATCGGACCTGCTGGCTACTGGGTTCCTATGTGTCAATGGGGATTTTGCTGCCACAGCATTTCACAGGCATTACCAGGGCCGAGATTCTAGTAAAACCCCGTGGGGTTGGTGGAGCGGGGTGCACGGTGAATACTGAAACCAGGCTGGGTGAACAGTCTCTGGCACCCCCTACCTCGCTGCCTTCAAGTCAACTCTCCTGCGAGATACCCCCGAACTTTGGCTGCGGCCCCCTGTGCCCGCCCCAGCCCTGGCGGTCCCTCATTCCTCGTCCCCACCCACTTTCTACTCCCTTCTTCCCAGAGTATCTTTATTTTCCGCAACCGACGCATAAACACCACGGATGGGACCAGATGTTAACACCCCATTCCCGAGACTCAAAAGCCCAGACACTCACTCAGGTTCCGCCATCTTTGCGGTGCTGGTACTGCGCGTGCGCAATTCACCACGTGAGGAAAACAAGTACCACTTTAGGGTTACTTGACCATAGAGATGTCCGTTCTAGCTCACGCTGGAGGACCCGGGTTGCCAGTACCCGCTTGGCAGCAGTGAACTTCTAAGGTCTCGCTAACCCTGATTCCTCCCAAAAGTTGCACAGAGCCTCCTTCGCACCCCTCCTAAAGTTTTTGGAGACTATGTCATTTTCAAAATACAGGCCTTTTAAAGGGTACCGGCTTGGCTGAGGTCCATGAACGCTTCCCGGGACGAACCTGACGCTCTCGCTGTGCGCGGCCGCCACACTTCCGGCGCACTCTACTGCGCGACCGTAGGAAGGGAAGCCGGAAGTCCCTGAGCGGCGTTTTCGGTCTGCAGAGAGCCCGGGGCTGCGACTTTGGCTTTCAGGTTGGGTGATTATGTTTGTGGACGACATAGGGTGGTCAAGAAGGAAGCTCTGATTCTGCTCCGCTCCGGCAGCGGGTCTTTAAGCAAACTGTATAACTCCGCTACACCTCGGGTTTCTGACACATAAATGGACTTTTAAAAATGGCCTTTCGTGGTTTATGCGAGATTCTTCATATAAAATGTTTAGCATAGTGTCTGTCAACTCTCGTCACCGACAAGTAGAAATGGCTCCTGACTGTTTCAGAACATTCCTTTATAATAGCTCTCCCACCTTGAATAAGCTTCCTTCTCTTTCTTTCCATCAACGTAAAATCTTAAAAAATAACTCAAGTCTTGTCACTTCCGGAAACTACCAGAACCTCAGCTCTCAAGCATTAATGTGAATAGGAGCCACTTGAACTTGTTAAAATGCAGACCCCACCCCAAACAATTATTCATTTAATTTCACTTGTTATTTTAAAATTTGCTATAGGGCATGTGTGTTCACAAGAAAGAGACAAAGGGAAAAAAAAAAAAGAGACAAAGAGAAAGAGAGCAAGCCGCCTGGTCTGGGACTCAGACTGTGGTCAGCCACAGGACAGTCCAACGCCTTAGCCACTGTGCCACCGCTGACCCCTAAAATGCAGATTTGTATTAGGGTGGAGAGAGAAATTTAGTTCCCTCACCCCCTTTCTTCCCTAGAGACTCTGTGCATGTATTCACGTGTGCCTGGTGTATCTCCCAAACCACCAGTCCAGGACTCAAACCACAGCAGTTGGCCATGTAGGCTCCAGTCACCCTGACCATGTCACCTGCTGGACATGATATCCTTAATTTTTTTTTTTTTTAGAGGTTTTTGCTATAGAGCGCATGTGTTCACCAGAAAGACAGAGAGAGACAGAGATAGAAAGCGAGAAATCACCCCCCATGGGGGGTGGCCACGCCACAGTCCCTTCTCCATTCTCCTCTCAGGATCTTGGGCATGCATGCACAGGCGCCCAGCGTGAGTTTAAGCCACCGGGTCCGAGACTCGAACTGTGGTCGACTACATGGGAGTCCAGCGACATAGCCATTACGCCAACTGATGGTCCCTCTTTACTGTTTGTTTTTTTTGGGGTCTTTTTTTTTTGCTATAGGACACATGCGCTAGCTAGCTGGAGAGATAAAGACAGAGAGACAGAAAACAAGAAATCACCCCCTCAGGGAGGATGGCCACACTACCATCTCTTCTCCATTCTCCTCTTGGGATTTTTTTTTTTTCTTTTTCTTTTTTTGGAGTTTTTTTTTCTATTGGGCGGTGGCCG